ATACATGTAACCGTGCATTGGCGTTGACAAGTATTTTAAAATATAATAATAACTTAATTTTAAAATCATTATCACTATTTATCTTTTTTTTCTATTGTGTTCGGACGTCTTTTTTTTTAGTGGGCGACACATAAATTATATTTCATCCAGCTTAAGCGTTACATTATTATTTTTATTTCAAAATAAAAAAAAATAATATTAATGTATTCAAAAATTTTAAATCTTAATTCACCTCATGGGTTCACCCTGCTTACCTAAACCATGATACTAAATGAGTTATTATCGTCAAAAACTTACAAACACCTATTATTGGTCGATGATGGCTAAAATATTTCCTTTTTAAGTTTGCTTCTACAGAAAATAGTTGGCCAAATAGACCAATTATTAGGACATTATTTTTTCCTCATCAATAGCCCATATATAAAAATTAATTATTTATGTACTCAAGTTGTAATAATTTTTGGTTCTCATATATAATCCTTAAAACAAATCACCAGCCTATCACGGAATTACTTTTATTTTTTAAGTTTCTGAATTCTAGCACATAAGTGACGTGGCAAATGTTTGACATGTGATTAATTTATCAATCAATGCACTTAATCAAAATTTAGTTTATTAAAGTACATTTAAGTACTACATACGTACCTTTCTTTCCATTTAATTAGATTTCGTGTATGTCAGCCAAATAATTAATCTAGTTGGTGATAAAATAGCCTTAAAATAAAACATGTAATCTTTTTTTTTCTCTATGCAATAGGTTTATATTCTTTTTTTCTAATCTCAAGATTACGTCTTCCTTTTTCCTTGGATATTGTACAACTAACGGTGTGTTTGAACGAAGGAAAATATTATTCAGAATATGTTATCAATTTTTGTAGTTAGATTAAATATTTTTCCAGAAAAAATAAGTTCCTTAAAAATGAGGAAAATGACTTTTCTAATGAAAGTAGGAAAAATAAGTTGCATGAGTGATATTCCCAATTTATTATGATCTATTCTCCCCACGCACTTAACTCTCATCCCTTGACCATCCCATCCCCGCCACCCAAAAATCCCACTCATCATTCCTATTCATAACGTTTTGCTGTGTAACGTATAAATGCTTTTCGGGTAATATATTTTATTGCTTACTTACCATTATTTGCCAAATTCTAGAAAATAAGTAAAATACACATTTTCAGAAAATATTTTTCGTATAAAACATTTTCGTTCATACCAAACACATCGTAATTAGAGATAACATATTCTATTTTTAGGCTTCCATCACCAACTAGATTAATTATTTGGCTGACACACAAATCGAATTAAAAAGGAAGCTACTTAAATTATAAAGAATAATTCATGATACCCCTTGATTCAAAGTAACTAAAAAATGAATGAGGAGCGTTGGTGATTTGTTTCAAGTACTATGAAGAGCCAAAAAATGTACGACTTTAACACATAAAAAATTTATCATATGGTCTATGAAGAGTAAAATAATAATATCGTAATTGGTCGGTGATTTCTTATAAATAGCCTCTAATTAAAATAGTTGTTAAGCATATTTACGATGAACGGATTCATTTTAGGGATCATATTTGGCGTTCTTATGGTACCTATATCGGTTTTTTCGTATAAAATATATCGTCACATACGCGATAAGGATAAGGTTAAAGGAGGAGTCGATGTGGAAATAGATAATTGGGCTCTCGAATTAAAAGCTCGTGAATTAAAAGCCCGCGAATTAAGAGAACGGAAAATGAAAATACTTGCTTTGACTGGTGCTGGTGGTGCAGTGGCAGCGACTAAAACCGGCAGTACAACAAATGTTGTTATATACGATGGTATGTGTTGTGGCGGTGGCGGTGGTGATGATGGTGGTGGTTGTGGCGGTGGTTGCGGAGGTGGTTGTGGCTAATTTGAATCGATTTGTAATTTTAAAAGATTACGTAATTGTAAATATTTTGTTTTGATTTTCTAGTGTTTCATATTCGTATTGAAAACTTTTTTGTGAATTAATATGACCTAAGGACTTTCCTTTCTAGGAATTTGAGAAATGAAAATAGCATTTGCTATAATTATATAAAGTCTCACTTGTGAAATTAATATACTCCTATTATATGTTGTTCTTAAATTTATATCCTTAATATTAAAAAACAATCATAAATTATAAGTTTAAGTTTATATTTTTATAGTATAATATATATTTCATAAGTTAGGTTCAGACTTAATTAGTTCTCAAAGAACTTATGTGCACTAGATATAAGCGTAATTACTAAAATCATAAAAACGTGCAATTTTATGTATTACTTACTATAGGTTTATCCTCTTTGAACTAGAAAATAGATCTCACAAGGCTAAAATTATATTTTTCCTATAGAAACAATTCTCAAAAGGAAAAAAAAAATATTAGGCCATCAAAATAAATTGTTACTATGGCAAAAGAGAATAAAATTAGACGTGGAAAGAAATAATGGTCAACCTCTAATTTTCATGTAATAATATTTTGTATCATGACTTAACTTAGATATATCTACAAATTACTAAGGTTTTTGCTTATTTGAAGGGAAAAGTCATATATGTATCGAACTATGGTTCTACATCCTAAACGTGGTTATAAATAAAATAGTTTTCATCTATAAGAAAACAAACTTTTTGAAATTTATTTTGTAAAATTTTTTGTTGAGTCGAAGGTTTGCATAAACTACATTCATTTTAAATTGTATTGTTGAGATTATTACATCGAATATATTGTTATTGCAATATAACAAACTTGTTAAAAATCAGAGTTTTGGAAGCGTGGAATATATTAATCAATCCAATTTGGAATTCAAAGTTTAGAATTGGAAAGAAAGGTACATGAATGATAGATTAATTAGATAATATTATGTCACGTATCTACAAGACATGAGCTCAATATCAGTATACAATTCATAATAATAAATTTCAAAGAAACTAAAAATATATAAAAAGATAAGTTCCAAAGTAAGTGTTGATGATTTGATTTAAGGATATTTATATATAACTTACAACTTGAGTACATAAAAAAATTATCCTATAGCCTATGAACTTAGTCAGGGAGGAAAATATAATATCGTAATTGATGGATAATTGTCTATAAATAGCCTCTAAATTAGTTGACAAACATATTTTGTACTATGGGAGACTTAACAAATTTTGCGATCGTATTCTGCGTTGTAGTGATGCCTCTTTCGATTATTTCGTGTGCCATATGGCGCTACAGACTCCATCGAGAAAAAGATAAAGGAAGAGGCGATGTTGAAATGGCCGCGGATAGTGGGGCCTACGGATTAAGAGAGAGGAATATCGTTGGTTTGGCGGATACTGGACGATCTATTCTCGAAGGTGGTGTAGTGATAGCTACAATTGTTTTATAACGGTGATAATAACAATAGTGATTGACAGTAATGATGGTTGTGATTATAACAGTTGTGTCGTTTGCTAGAAGACCAACTTTATCTTTAAACGTCTTAATATTAATGAAAATAAATGAGACTTTAATCAGATCAATTACTTGTTCTTTTATATGTATACTATTATTCTTAGTGCCTAGTATATGTGGAAGTTAGTCCTAGTTTTATGCTTAGCAAGTGTGTTGTGTTAGTAGCCATAGATTATATTGTTACACACTTCGACGTATTATTAGAGCTGGCATGAATTCTAAAATTGAAAACTTGCAACATATTATATTTATTTGTTGTTAAATATAATATAGTGACAATTATAATATTACTGCTAAACAATTATTACTAAGAGTGTGTTTGGTACGAAGGAAACATTTTTTGGAAAATGTTTTCCAATTTTCCCATGTTTGATCGGGACAAAAATTTTGGAAAATGTTTTCCAAATCAACTCATTTTTCTCAAAATTAAGGAAAATGACTTCCCTTCAAAAATTAAGGAAAACATTTTCCATAACTCTCCTTCAATTTCAAATTACTTTTTTTTGGGGAAAAACATCAATTTAAATAAATATTTTCAATTTCAAAATTTTATTTTTTCACCTGATCCTTGACCCTACCCCCATCGGTCAGCCCCCACCCCCCAACACCAACCCCTCCCCAAAAAATTAATTTTGTTTTTTAAAAATATTTTCAACTTCAAATTTTTATTTTTAAACTCCTACCCCTCCCCCCTCCCGTCCAGCCCCCCTACCCACCCCAATCCCCCAAAAAATTAATTTTGTTTTATAAAAATACTATCAACTTCAAATTTTTATTTTTTTCACTCCTTCCCCGCCCCTCCCCCACCCTCACCACCACCCAAAAAAATAATAATTTTGATTTTGAAAAATATTTTCAATGTCATAAATTATTTTTTACTCTAGTAAAAATAAAAAATGTCTCTCAAAAACATTTTTCATTCATAAATCAAACACTAAAAATCATTTCCAGAAAATATTTTCTACTCACCAATCAAACATGAGAAAATAAGTCCAAAATCTACCTGTTTTCCAGGAAAACATTTTCCATGGAAAACATTTTCCTCCATACCAAACACACCCTAAATCTTGTAGAGATCCGTACGGATTACAACCTACATTTTCTACATTTAAGCTTCCATCACCAAGTAAATTGTTTTTTTTTTTTTGGCTAGATTAATTAGATGATCTTATGTCAATTATCTATTAGGCCAAAATATGAGCTCAGAGATATCAGTAGAACAATTCATGATACTTGGCTTCTAATTACAAGGGAACTACAAATATATTAAATGAAAAGTACCAATATATGCGCTAGTGATATGATTTAAGGATGATATATGAAGATTCAAAAAATATTACAACTTGAATACATAAAAAAAAATTAATCCTATGGGCTATGAAGAGGAAAAATTAATATCGTAATTGATCAATGGTTCCTATAAATAGCTTATAAAATAGTTGTCAACCATATTTACTATGGACTTAATGATTATTTTGCCCATACTCACTATTTTTCTGTTCCCAATTATAGTCATTTTGTTCGTCTTATGCCGGAAACGCCTGATGGCGGAGGCGATTGTAACGGTTGTTGCGGTTGTAGCGGATGTGGAGATAACTTTGAATTAATTTTTTTTTTAAGTTTTGAATAATGATTCAGACGTTTTAATTTTAATGAAAAATAAATAAGGCCTGTTAAGCTTACATTATTGGCCGTCCCCTCTTTTCTTTGTTTGTTTTTCTCTTTTGCTCTTTTAGGAGATGTAGTAAAATAGAGTTTATTGGTGATCTTTTTTTCTTTTGGGTAGTAAAATTGATCTTGATACAAAATGTTACACGATATATTAAAGTGATATTATACAACATAATTATTAACACGAGATGATTGAGTATATGCGTGGATATGTATGTTGTGCTTTCTTTTATTGAAATTATATTGACTATATTGTTATTAATTGTGCGTTATTATTAATTGTGCGTTATGGAAGCGGGAATAAACTTATCATTTCAATTTAGATAAAATAACTTTTTGTCCAAAAAATTGAAGGTTAGTTACTCTCTTAATGATTTGAAAGAAAGGTACTGAAATTATAGATATAATTAAATGATCTTATGTCAAATATTTACTAGGCCAAACATGAGCTCATTCAGTAGAATAATCCATTGATACCCCTAAGATGAAAAATTCCAAAGTTATCCTATGGTCCATGAAGAGAAAAAAAATAATAATTTCATATTTGATCCATAACATTTTATAAATAGCCTCTAAGCTAGTTAGATTGTCACGCCCTTTCTATAAGCTTTGTCATAACATCTGTTCTTTGAGTGAGAACTCTGTGATAGGCTCGACTCAGATGTCACCCTTTTAAACTAACTGAGTTATCTCGAAGGTCGAAGGACAAGCAAGCATATTTACAATGGATTATATGCCTATGATTGTGGGCATGCTCTCCGTTTTTCTGGTAATAATTTTGACGATTTTGTGCACCATATGCGTCTACGCACACAAGCAGATCAAGGGAAAAAGAGTAGGCGATGTGGAAATAGGTTGTGGAACTGATGGATTTAGAACTGCGTTAGTGATTTGTTTGACCGGCACTGGAGGAGCTGCTGTCGCAGGTGGTGCTGTGGCGGAGACAGTGATTGGTGGCGCTGATACGGTTAGGGAGGGTTGTTGTTGGGGTGGTGGCATTGATGGCGGAGGTGGTTGCGGTGGATGTGGAGGTGGTTGACTTAAGTTTCTAAATAATTATACATTAGACATAAAGTTCGATTGTTAAAGGAGAAAACGTGTAATTTTATGTGTTTATTAAGTTGCCGATTACGTATGTTACACAAAACACCTATGAATTAAAAAATGAACCTCACAATTCAAGTACTAGAGTATTTAAACATCTCTAATCTAAAATGTTATGGTTCAGAAAGATGTGTTGAAGTTCTCAATTTGGGTTTTGGTGCTGGGTACTTTAATGTTTTTTTACTTAAAAGTTAAGTGATTTTTAAGAATTTCAGGATATTTTGATTGATAACAGAGAGTTGCTCGGACGGTAAATATTAAGCTGGATACTTGTGGATTATCAAATAGAAGATACATCTTGGATCATATTCTTGAGCTGTAACGAGTGTTCAGAAAGTCTAGGAAAATGTACCACATCCATACGAGCTGAAGTGTTAGAACATTTTAGCCCTTTTAGTGCAACTATGAGCCATCTAGTGTATGTACTAAGGCTGTTTCATTGCATACAAGGATGATTTGTTGTTTGAAAGAGTTAGTACTTATCAAGCTAAGGTCGAGCTGTTATAAACCTTACCTGTTACTGCATCACCTCGCCAGTCCTAGATGTGCTGCTTAGTGTAGAGTTCTGTTTTGTTTGCTTTGAGGATATATGGTAAGCCTAGCTTCATGCCCTTCGCTTACTGTATTCTGTGGTTTGTATTTAGCTGCATTTTTTGTCGTTGCTTGATTTAATAGCCTTCCCAATGTTGCGTGTGGTTGCTTCAAGTTTTAGTCTGCATCTCAATTAGGCATAAACTATGACAATTGTCTGTCTTTGCCTACTGATTATTACATATCAATTGGTCACTTGTTTCTGTTTTGTGATACTGTTTTTTTTATGTTATTATTGAACGTCATACAACTGGTTAGCTGCTAACTTTAGTTTCAAAGTGACATTGTTGTGCAGAAGGGATACTTATCCCTCCTATCCTTTACAGTTGTTGATATAAACAATTCGGTGACCAAACTATTGGCTTTAGGTGCCGAGTTGGATGGCCCCATCAAATATGAAATCCATGGAAAGGTAACCAAAATTTCTTAAGGTTGCTTTCAAACTTGTTGACCAGCATTGGTTTATGCTCGTTATTTACACATCGATTCAGAATTTTGTTCTGCATTCAGCATTTATGTTGATGAAACTGACCTATCGCATACTTTATATGGTCCTTGTAGGTTTTGCTGCTTTGAGGTGTGTGGATGGACATATGTTAGGTCTTTATCAGCCGTCCTAAGGCATCCTCGAAACAACCACTTGCAGGTAAAAGTAATCACGACTTCTGTAACAAGGCAAATTGGTTTCTCAGCATAGATTTTGCATTCGGGTGTACTGTTGAAAGAGAGAATCGACTCTTGTACATGGAGGTGAAGCACATATAGGGAGTGTTACAGCAAGAAACAATCAATACAGTAGCTGAATTCCTACTGTATTTGTTTTTGATGTTCTGTTCTGGTTATCCTTTTGTGTAACATGATGTTTTGTATTCACCAACATGAATTGTGGTGCTCCACCCTTAACCAGAGGACTCGGATTCGAGCTTCCGGTATGGAGAAAATTTTGTTGAGAAAGCCACTCTTGAATAGGTCATGCACTGTACGATTTGGATTCAATCGGAGCTCCAACGTGGGCTCCTGACACTGGATGGGAAAACCAAAAAAAAAAACATGATGTTGTTTATTTAAATCTCTCCTTTTCTAACATATATCCATATCCTGATATTAAAACCCTTCATCCAAATGATTCTATGAATGAATGCCTATTAGCAATATAGTCGATCAAGAAAATTAATAGGAGTAACTATAATTAGCACAAATTATGTGACTCATGTGTAATTATTTATTCATGCTTTCTCTATATATATCGGATGTACAACCCTTAATCAATAAGACTCATTATTATATCATGGTATCAAAGCTAAGGTTAAACTCTTCCAAAACCTAAAAAAAAAAAACCCTAACCTTCTTCTTCTTCCTTGCTGCTGCTGCTGCCGATCAACATCAAAACAAACAAAAAAAAAATTCTCGGCTGCCTCTCTTCATCAATGTTGAATGCCTTGTATTGGGCCCTTAATTTTCTGTTGATTCTGTATGTTGGGCCCAAGCCTTTTAGGGCGTAGCTTAGCACTATATATATAGACGCTATGGGAAACCCTATTCTGTAATTCTGTTTTTGCCTCTCCATAATAAAACTGCTCCCTCTCTTCCCGTGGACGTAGCCAATTTATTGGTGAACCACGTAAATCTGTTGTCTTGTTTTTCGCGTTTATATTTTCTCGTATTATCTCAAATTCCGCACAACAATCAACAATGGCAGCCGATCCCCTTGCCACCCTTCCCTCAGGTGTGAAATTGTTCCTTCGCAATCTTCACAATCTCATCCCAGAAAAATTAACCCATCATAATTATCCAGCCTGGTCGAATGGCGTCAAGACGGCGCTCTCCGCAAATCTTCTTCTTGGTTGGGTCGACGGCACCGGCATAGTACCGCCAGTCAATGTAACCGTCACGGACAAAGATGGTACAACCTCGACAGCACCAAATCCCGACCATATGTCGTGGTCCCTTATCGATACTCAAATTCATGCATGTCTTCTCGCTGTGATTAGCCCGCAAATTCAGAAGTACGCTCGTGGTTTTGCTACTTCTGGGGCTCTTTGGAATGCTCTTGCTACCCGCTTTAATTCTCTATCTACAGCCCATGTTTTTCAGTTGCGTGATCGACTTCACACCCTTCGCAAGGGCACTCGCACCATGGTCCAATATTTGGATGAAGCAGCCTCGATTATCTCTGATCTTGATGCCCTTAATGAAGCTGTTCCCGAACGAGATGTCATCAATGCTGTTGTTCGGGGCCTGCCTGCTGAATTTTCCTCTTTAAAACAACATATCCGATATCACGATGGTCCTCTCACACTAAATCAAATTTCGGGCTGGTTGAATGCAGAAGAATTAAACCTTGCCATGGAATCCAAATTGGCCCTCGCCGACTCGACAGCTCAGCCAATCCACACTGCCCTTTACGCGGCTAGACAGCGTGGTGGCGGCCGTCCAGGCAGACGCGGCGCACAACGTGGCGGCGGCAAAGGACGCCAGCAGCCCTTCGTCCACAGCGGCAGTTCTGGCCGCAGCAAACCAGACCTGGAAAATCGACGCGGTGGAGGCAGCACTCCATCCTCCAATCGTGACCTGCCCGTGTGCCAAATCTGTGAAAAGCGAAGCCACGTGGCTCGCGTATGTTGGTACCGCTATGACGAGCAATCTGCTCCTGCACCAAACGGCGGCACTCGTGCGATGCATGCATCTACAAGCAACTCTTCAAGTGATTGGTATCTGGATACTGGTGCAAATTCTCACGTGACGCCTGATTACTCTAAACTCCATAATCCGACTTCATATTCCAGCGCCGACACAATCACTGTAGGTAATGGCCAATCTTTACCCATCTCCAATAGAGGTTCTGGCTTTGTATACACTCCCACAAGTACTTTCTCATTATCCACGTTACATCACGTCCCATCCCTCACATCCAATCTTCTGTCTGTCTATCTGTTTACCAAAGAAAATAACTGCACTCTACTTTTCAATGCCCATAATTTTCAGATAGTGGACAATTTAACCAAACAGATCCGGTACAAGGGTCGTTGTGAGCAAGGTCTATACACTCTTCCTTCCAAGCTATCTGCGTCAATCTCATCTTCATCAGTTGCTAATCAAGCCATTCGTTTTTCAACCTGGCACCGCCGACTTGGTCATCCATGTGCCGAAGTCACTAAGTCAATTTTGTCTGTCTTAGGTTTTTCTTTTTCCACTAAGGACCATTGTGAGTCATGTTATGTAGCCAAATCGAGTCGTTTACCATTTCTCTTATCCAATACTAAGGCCACAACGCCATTTGAATTAATACACTCTGATGTTTGGGGTCCAACCTCCATCTCCCCCTTTAATGGTTTTCGTTACTATATATGTTTTGTTGATGATTATAGTAAATTTACATAGCTTTATCCCTTAAAACGCAAATCTGAAGCATATTCGGTTTTTGTAAATTTTGAACGCATGGTCAAAACCCAATTCAACTCCAACATCAAAATCTTTCCCAGTGACAATGGAAAAGAATTTTTAAACAATGCCTTTGACTCTTTTCTCCAATCTCTTGCCATTGTTCATCACACATCTTGCCCATATACTCTTGAACAAAATGGTGTTGCCGAACGTAAACACCGTCACCTCATTGAAACCGTCGTCACTCTTCTTCATGAGTCTCATCTCCCTGCACCTTTCTGGGTCGAGGCGTTGGCCACTGCCAACTATCTCATCAACCGCATGCTCACACCCTCCCTCTCTAACACATCTCCCTATGAATTTCTATACACACACCGTCCAGATTACACTCATCTTCGACCATTTGGTTGTCTTGCCTATCCTTGGCTACGCCCTCACACTCAACACAAACTTCAACCCCGGTCTACACCATGCATCTTTCTAGGCTACCATCCCACCATAAAAGGATACAAATGTTTTGAACTCATCTCTCAAAAAACATATGTCTCTCGTCATGTTCTTTTTATCGAGGAGGATTTTCCCTATCCCCGGTTAAGCTCTGTCAATGCCACGTCCAACCCACTTGGTCTTATTCCAATCTTTCCACCGAGCTCACATGGCCTTATACCGGCATCCATTACCCCATCCATCATACACACACCACCCAATCCCAACCCTCTCATCCCATCCGGATCACCCACCACCCCCAATCCACCCATCCCACCAACTTTCAATCCTCCTTACCAACAATCTCCACCAGCCGAAACAACCCCTCCTCCACCCCCACCCCCTTTACATCATATGCAAACCCGTTCCAAATCCGACATTTTCAAGCCCAAAGTCTACACCACCACTTCACTTGCTCCCTCTCCCTCTGAACCTACTACCTATAAACAAGCATCTACCAACCCCCTTTGGTGTCAGGCTATGGATGATGAATACAGGTCTCTTATTAATCAGCATACTTGGGAATTGGTGCCAGCACCCAGACATCGAAAACCAATTGGTTGCAAGTGGGTGTACCGCATCAAACGTAATACCTATGGATCCATCTCTCGTTACAAAGCTCGACTAGTTGCGAAGGGTTATCATCAAAAGTATGGCATTGACTATAAAGAAACTTTCAGCCCAGTCGTCAAGCAGCAGACTATCCGTCTAGTCTTGTCTCTCGCTCTTCATAATGATTGGACCCTACACCAGCTCGATGTGAGCAATGCTTTTCTCCATGGCACTCTCGACGAGGACATTTATATGGATCAACCGCCTGGTTATGTTGATTCTTGCCATCCACATCTTGTCTGCAAGCTCAAAAAGTCCCTCTATGGCCTCAAGCAGGCCCCCCGTGCTTGGTATAATCGCTTCTCTTCTTTTCTGCAGGATATTGGCTTCCGAACGTGCACTCATGACACAAGTTTATTCACTCTCCGGCATCCTCATGGGCTAGTCATAATTCTTCTCTACGTTGATGATATTGTGATTACCGGCAGCTCATCTGCTCTTATCTCCACCATCACTAAATCCATGCATCAAAATTTTCAGCTGAAAGATCTTGTCCCTCTACATTACTTTCTTGGCATTGAAGTACTTTGTACCTCCTCCAGTCTCCTACTTCATCAGTCAAAATACACTGAGGAGTTTCTCACTCGGGCAGGAATGGCTGAATCTAAAACTGCACCCACTCCAATGGCTTTCCGTCCACCATCCACCTCCGACAGCCGTCTATTCGACAATCCGACCCTCTATCGAAGCATCGTGGGTGGTCTCCACTATCTAGCTGTTACTCGTCCAGACATTCAATATGCTGTCAACCGTGTCTCTCAATCCATGCACGCTCCAACTGAACAAAATTTTCAGGCATTAAAACGGATTCTTCGTTACCTAAAGGGCAGCTTACGTCGTGGACTTCTTTTTACAAAAGGGAATCTAGAGCTCTCCGTATACTCCGACTCTGATTGGGCGAATGACGAGGATGATCGTCGCTCCACCACCGGGTACCTACTGTTTCTTGGACCAAATTTAATCTTTTGGTGCACCAAAAAGCAAACACGGGTATCTCGCTCTTCCACTGAAGCTGAATACCGAGCTATGGCGACTGGCGTTGCCGAAGCCATGTGGCTTCATCACATTACGGATGCACTTGGTCTTCCTCCCTTTCGGCCAAAGATTTATTGTGACAACGATTCCACCATTTGTGTTACAAAGAATCCAGTCCTTCATGATCGTATGAAGCATGTCGGGTCTGACTGCCACTTTGTTCGTGAACAGGTCATGGCTGGTACTATGAGCACACATCATGTTCCTTCTTCCGAACAACTTGCAGACTTGCTTACCAAACCTCTTCCACCGGCTGCGTGTCATTATCTCGCTACCAAGCTTCCCCTCATATCCGTGGATCAGCTTGAGGGGGGATAATAGGAGTAACTATAATTAGCACAAATTATGTGACTCGTGTGTAGTTATTTATTCATGCTTTCTCTATATATATCGGATGTACAACCCTTAATCAATAAGACTCATTATTATATCAAAAATAAATACACACTAATCAAGCAAACCTGATTAATTAATGAAAGATTGGCCCAGTTGTAGATAATTCAAGAAATTAATTACACAAAGTCAACGAACCCAAGTTGGACGAAGGTTAAATTTAATTGAACTCACATGCACTCATCGTTTTTTTGTCACATAATTAAGTTCAAGGACCTTCTAAAATCCAAAGTCAATTTTTTTTTTTTATCATAATAATGGAGGGGTATGTTATAGCAATAATACTATTTCTTTGTGCTTTTGTTGTATCTGTTATTTTCTTCACATCTTGTTATAAGAAAGGCAACAATAACAAGCAGCGTCATGTGGGGATTAATGCGAGGCAAAGAAATAGAGCGTCAATTTCTGGTCAAACTTATGATTCTGGTAGAGCAGGAGGAGGAAATTATAATGGCAATGACGTGAGTGGCGGTGGTGCTGCCTTCATGGCTGGCGCTGCTGCCATGTCAGCAGCTCTGACAAGCATAGCTATTGATGGTGATGGTGGTAACGGTGGCGGTAATGGAGGAGGTGGTGGTGGTGACGGTGGCGGAGGAAGTTGACTTGGTCAGAATCGTAGCTATTAATTATTCTAAAGGATAATGTTTACGTGCCACATGCATGTGGCTAATTTTTTTTTCCCTATTTTATTTTTTGGTAACGTTGTTATTTTGTTATTTTGGTGAGAAATTCATGTAATTATATATTATGTGATTTGTACAAAATGTTATAGTTTAATATCTTTTTTATTTCCCATGAAAGAATTAATTACCCCTCCATTTGATTATGATTTTTTTGAACGAACAAGTTATTTTTATACATGTTGTAACAATTATAAATATTTGTTATAAATATTTGATATATGCCAGTTCATGTGACAGAAAATTGATATGTGGTTGAACTTATTCAATGTGTTATATTTGCCAAAATATTTAAGTAGTACTAATTTTTTTGACTAAATATTGAAATTTCTTTTTCTGTATATAGGATAAAATTTTCCAGCTTCGGTATTATATTGTTTTCTACTTAAGTAGTTTTCAGTTTTCAACCACTCTAATTTTATAAAAATCATAAAATTATAAACAAACTCCGTGGGGCTTAACCAGTTCACCAAACACAAATTAAAAAATCTCCCCATTATTTGCACATTTATTAGTATTTTAATTAAACAACTTGATAAGTTTCGATATTATTCTAATCATACTTAGTTCTACTTAATAATGTTAATTATCCTTCTTACAATTAAACTAGAACTCAACAATCAACATGACATCCCTTTTCTCTTGTTTATGTAGCGGAGGCTTCGAAAAAGATCGAAGTATAAGGCGTGATTGGAGCTTTCCTCATTCACCTCCATTAGATCCCGATTTATCTGATGTTGAAGATGATGATAAATATTATACGTACACACAAAAAAGTGCAACACATTCAATTGTTTTAGGAGAGTCCACCACAAAAGTTGTCTATCCAAATGACGATGATTATGATGATGATGATATCGGATATATTAGTCATGATGAGGGTATTTATTACAGTGAGAATAACTCCGTTAATGATAGTACCAACGGGGTTGATAGAGGCTATGAGTATGACGATGGTGATGGTGGTGATGATGATGATGATGGATATGTTCGTGCTGACGGAGGAGAGGAAGATGGTGGAGACGGTAACTATAGTGGAGAAGGTGGGAGTAGTTTCCGCGGTGATGACTATGAGAGTGCATGAGAAAAGTATCGACGCATGCGATTGATCAAAAGTTTTTAATTTCTTCTAATATCATCCAATCCATATTGTATGTGCAATAATATTTCTCATCTTAATCTTTTTTTCACTTCTCTTTTTTTTTTTCCTATTGTGTATTGAAGATTGAGTTTAATTATATATATGTTAGCGTTGTGTTTAGGGATTCATCTAAACCTCGTTCGACGAAAAATTATATTATTTATGTATGGTTAAAGTAATTTTTTCACGTATATAATAAATGTCGAACCCCCTTCGTCTAATTTGTATGTCTACTTTTTTAGATTTTAAATCTCTTATTCAAAATTCTGACTTCACTACTGGACCTAATAATACGGTAGTTATGATTGGTCAAGCGCCGATTATTTGAATAGCAAAACCCCATAGCTCATATCGATATATATATATATATATATATATTTTGTATATTTTGTTTGTTTCTATTTTATTTTTTAACGTATACAGTATATTACTGCTTAGTTTGTTTAGGATTTATTATTATTATCCTCTAGTTATTAAACTACTCCCAAATATTTTATTTTTAATTTTCCTTCTAAATATTTTTGTTTTACAAGAATCATACTAACAAGTTACTGTAGTTGATTATACATAATATAAAAAGAAAGGGAAAATTACATGGTTAAACAAATATATACTAATTAATTAGTTATCATATTTATAGTTTTAGTTAATTCCCACTCGCAACCAACATTACGTGGGATGGGATTTTGAGTTTGTTGAATTCACACGTTTTCATAATTCAAAATTCGTATCACTTTTATATAATGTAATTTTCATATAATTTGTATAATTGTTTAAAGTTCAAATATTTATGTTTATACTAATTAGTTATTTCGAATTTATACAAAAATAACTTAATTATATAAATTCATCTGCGAATTATATAAATTCGAGAATTATACAAATAAAACACCTTAAACTATAGTTACAAACCTGTAAGTATGTTAACTATAGTTGTAGAGCATACTTAAGTTTATTATAGTGATTATTTGCGAAAATTTTCGAAATGAAAAGTTCGAATGAAGAAGAAGGTATCATGGAAAAGGCCCATGGACCAATGGCCATATTGGGCAAAAGCCCACTTATTCGTTTAGTTAAAAGGCCGTATTCATTACAAACCTAAACAATTCACCAAACTGACTCACCAGCCTAAAACTACACCCTTTCACTTTTCTTTTTTCTTTTTATAATACATATATTAGATTTTAAACTTGACTTTAAATTTTAATTTTGATCTCGATTTTTTATAATGCACAAACAGACACTTTAACTATCCAACTTTTAAAAAAATAAACACATGAGTCCTACATAACACAATACACGTAGTACAAAAAATTACATGTAGGACATGTGTGTCTATTTGTTCAACTTTATACCAGTTTAAGTGCCTACTTGTGCACATCCAAAGTTAAAGAACATAAATGTGATTCAAAGTCAAGTTAAAAGACACATTTATGTATTATGCCCTTTTTATATATATAAATAAACGTATAGGACTATGTATGTCTAAAAGTATATAAATAAAGGACCAGTTTGTACACTTAAGAATATATACAACGGACTATTTTGATAGAGTTCGATAAGTATTAGTGAAGACTAAAAGTAATAGCTTTTGATAAATTTAGAATCAAAATTGTTCGATGCATATAAATTATAATGCATTAGACATTTTACAAAAAAAGAATTATAAATGTGTATGCTAATTTTTTAAATTTTTTAGATATTTGTAAACTAACTAAAAACAAATAAAGAAGAAAATGATTAGTTCATCATTGTTTGCTTTCGGTATTTTAGCCTAATAAATTAGCATTTTTAGTGGATAGAAAGAGGATCACATCACATGGTGCACTTTTTATTGGTTCATGTCACCACCACCAAAGTAGTTCGATCATATCGAAATTGTATTCATCAAAATTTAAATAAATAAAAATCACATATCATAATTATTTTTCGTTGAGAATACAAGTAACTAAGCACGTACATATTATAATAATATATGTGTGTGTGGTGGCAACATGTGTGTGCCAAATATTGTGTTGGGTGGTTGAAATTTTACAGGTTATAAGAAACAAAATTAATTAGAGTCCAATATTTTGTGCTAATCTAAAGACAATGCATGCATGATGCAACAATTCTTTGTGTTATTGCTTTATTAGTATCTTATAATTTAAGAATCTAATTTATTCTGGGCACACCTTGTCTTTAAAAAAATCCATGTTAACCAAATAATTGATATGTATACTAAATTAATCTCTCAATTGATTGTGAATGCGACTATCTCTCTATGTAATGGGCGGAATCATCTTAAGCAAAGATAGTCTGGTATATATTCTTCGTCAAAAAATTATGCAAGATAAAAATTAAATGTGTTATAATAATCTTATATTTAAGTTTGCGTATGAAAAGTTGATTTGCACATTTTTTAAGTCAAATTTTTAGCTCTGTCGTTCATAGTAATACAACTAACATTTTCTTTTTTCTTTTTATATGTGTTTAGGAATCTGAACATTTAAGTCAACATAGATAAATTAATCCAAATATTATTTATAAAGTTCTTCAGAAAAAGAATCTACATGAGTTTCAATAATAATGTTCCAGTACGGAATAAGTTAGGCCATAGTCATATTTCTAATTAAAATTATCAGGCAAGCAAGAAACTTCCTAATTACTCCACTAATTTGGAATTTAATATATTAAAATATGTTCCAAGTGCTTTATCGCTCCATTTCTAATTAATTAAACTTAATTAGTTAATTATTTGTTTCGATATACATAATATATATAATTATATATATATATAAGTTTATTCTTATTCGGCCATGCATAATCTCCTAGATTTATATTGTCTTTTATTCATCACCCGAATTTAATTAGTGGACCATTATTAATCCTGAAAATATATGTGTGTGTTGTCATTATAACATTTTATACTATTTTTCTTGGTTAGAACAATTAAGTGCTTTATTCTCTAAGTTTATTCGAACGAGTTGCTTGTTTCTTAGATATGTTTCAATTGAGAAATCTGAACATAAAATAATATTTTTATTATACATTTAAATTCTTTTTGTATATTTTCAAAACGCTCTTGTAATCACATAAAGTTATATCACTTCCTTTCATTATCATATTAGTGTCAATTGTGATGGACCTGGACTTTGTGGTTTATTGCCACTAATGTGTATAATTAAAGGATATATTTAACGTACATGACTCTTTTTTAAACTGTTTGATTGACATTTTAATGATATAAAATAAAATTGAGTGAATTTACTAGATAATTTTGTATAGTTTAATGACCTTTTAAGATATTCACGGGTAGTCGGTGTATTATTTAGCGTAATTATTCCATCATTTTCTTGTTTAGTTAATTAGGACCACCAAATTGTTTGATTGGTGAGTCAAGTAGGAAGCAGGCCACGTGGGGATATGCCACTTGACTAACTTTAATTTCTTGGATTTTTTTTATAAGATATGATGCCATTTATTTTAAATTTTTTTTGGTGTGTATGGGGGGGTTGAGGGGGGGGGGGGTTTAATGATTTTGGCCTATTTAAATGCCAGTTTTATTGGTCAAATTTCATATTATCTACTCTCCTCCTCAAATATTTACTACTAATAAATTAGTGTTCATATTTTGTTTGATTTTGATATTAAGGTATGGCTAATTTGATAGCTGTTGAGAACTGGACATGGATCGACGGTTGTGATGAATTGAGCAACTTTGACGTGTCACAAATCGATGGTGACATTGTTATGTCTTTACTTGATGACATGCATGGTGATGATCATCACGATGATGAGAGATTAACGAGTGTTATTAGATCTCTTGAAGCTGAAATTGATCAAAGTCAATCTCGTTCTACTTTTAATAATGTAGTATCTGAATTGATAGTAAAGGTTCACGATCACGATTCTTTCCAAGACAAACAAGAGAGAAATTATGATGGTGAAAATTTGCAATCGCGGAATATTATCGGTCAATATCAAAACAAAGATTTTGTTGAATCAAATGATCTTGATTTTAGTTGGATGGAGATGGAGATGGAGATGCCGTCTTCGTACCCTAGCGGTGACATAAACTTGTGGTGCTTGAACAACAATTATGAACAAGATTATGAGGAGATTGCTGATGGGGTCTTTGACTACTCTGATACTGTTTTCTTGGACGAAAATGATTATCATTCTTTATGGCAAGAACAAAACGTATAAAAAAATTTTAGATTATAAATTTAAATTAGTGTAAAAAAATGTCGATACCTAAATTAGATATTTCACTCATTATATACCGAGTACAATTAAATACATCCGTCTTTTAATTTCTTTTATATATATCTTTATATACAAAGAATTTAAAATTGTCTGTGAATTTTAATCTCATAGCATATTATTTATCAATTTTAATGATCAAATTAATATTTAATGTTAAGCAAAATCTTCACCTACAATTACATAAATAAGTAATCTAATTTTACAAAATTCTACATTGCAGAAACTTATCTTTCTTCTTTATTTTTTTTTTTTCATAAAGAACGTGAAAACATTATTGTTCTTTGTTAATACTCGTTTCCATTTCACACAAGCAAAAACACATATGCAACCAAAATTCAAATAGTATTATAATTAAATTACAGGGAAAACGTTTGTATATAATATGACTAAAGAAAAAATGATGATAATCATTAATTAAGGATGGCCATTTCCAATTGCATTTTGGCAGGGTATATTTTTTATTCGAATATTTAAATGGACAATGACGAGTCACTACTCGATACTAAAGCAAATGTCCATATACAAAGTCCAAGAAAAAAAATATCAATAGTTGATATTGCTCCATATTTAATTAAAATATTTTGATTTGAAATAATAAAATAAATAATTTCTTAATATGTTTATTCGATGTAGATTTAAAATAATTGAGCTAGTGAATTTTAGATTTTAATCGTGTACTGATGTCACCAACACATTTTGTGAAAATTAAGAAATTAATATACTTCTTTATAGAAATGATATGTGAAAAAACACATATAAAATATCGAATAATAATATCTCTGGACAAATTTATATCTTATCATCAATATTGTCAATTACTAACATCAATCAACTTTATCATCACAGTCATTTTACCATCACAATCACCATTACTGTCAACTGCTATCATCACGTTAGTCACTAGAGCACCAACCAACCTTTATCATTACTAGCCACTACATCAACATACATTAACACCACCACCATAACAACAAACTATCTAGCTCCACCATTAATAATGAACATACATATTTTCATATATTTTTTTCAAATAATAATTTTATATTATTATTTTTTTTAAAAAATATTTAACTATTTTTATTTTAATTGTATATATATTTATCATGCTTATAAACAACTAAATTATTCACATTCAAATGAGAAAACACAAACCGTCTTAATCATTTAATATTAAATCTAAAAATAATATTTTAATTTAATCATTAAAATATATATATATATATTTAAATTTAAATATCTTAATTTTAATAATAACAAATAAGATCTAAAAATATTTGTGTAGCCAAATATCGAGCCCTACATACACATGACCTAAAGATAGACTTTCAGGTCTGTGAATCGAATGATTTGGTATCGACTATATAATCAAATATATTATTTGATATTGATTTAAAATAATATAAGATCGAACCCTACACAGATATAAACAAATAAAAATGGTCATGCATATTTCATGGCCAAAGCGAACCCACATACATGTGATCAATGATGTTTCACCACAACTATTTTTTGTTTTTATTTCATTATTTAAGCCTTTATGTCTGCAGGTATGAATTGTGCATGTTCTATATAGAATTCAAAGTACTTCAAATTAAAAAACAATTGGTCAAAGTATTATATTATAAACATTGTATATTATTGTGCTATGTGTAGTAGCAATATAGTCGACAAGTTCACAATTTTGATTCAATGTACTCTATATATATACATCGATCTGCTCCATCATGTCCTTTAATAAATAAATATATAGAACTATACTTTATTATTTTATTTTATAAGTTATACATTCATGTTCTCTTTATATATCCAGCTTTACTTCTAGTACTAGTGTCCTTTATTTTATTATAGGCTAACATCTTCATAATTTCTTGGAAACCTTACATTTGGCAAATTAATTGTATTATTTCGTGATTCACGTGAACGTGGTAGCTTTTGCTCAAATCATGTACATGTATAAAATATTCACTAACTAAGTATTTATGAATATCTTAATATGAATTCAATTAATATTTTTATATTAACTTGAGATTATTATAAAAATGTATATATTTTAAATTTTAAATATGTCATAGCTAATTATAGAATAGTGGAACAATGACACTAACTTGAAAATTAATGCAGCACTATATTATTTTTTATAGATAAGGATATTTGATATTCATGTAAATGTACCATGCATCACTCATATTATATATAGGAAGAAATCAAATCAAATCCCAAGATACAAGGTACGTGTACCCAAAACATATCTTAAAAAGCATGGGGTGTGTCAATGCCTATAAACAAAGACAATAATGTTGCCATGAGACAAAAGTGTCCAATATCATATTAAAATATGTATAGTTGCTTTACTTGAATATATAAAATCATTATATAATCTTATTACTTGCTGCCACCCTAAGAAAATTGATCTATTTAAAACCTATGATCTCTTTGATATACACATTATTCTCAACTTGTCATACACCTTCATTCCAATTCCAAGTTTTTTTTTCCTAAACATCTTCAAATTAATTCACTATTCAATTCAACAAAAATATGGCATATTTGGCATCAGAAAACTTAGTAGAAAACGATAGCGCGTTTCTCATGTCATTTCTTGATGAACCTTTGATGGAATGTTGCGACGATGAGAAATTAAATTTTTTAATCCAATCTCTAGAAGCAGAGATTGAATATCCCAATACTAAAGGGGGTTGTATATTTGATGATGATAACGTTCAGAATTCAAACTTTATTGATAATATAAATTTGAATTTCTATCACTGTGATCAAGATAATGCGTATACTAAATCTACCCTTGATGACGGCGAATATAGCTCAGAAGATCTAGTTGATGATTTTAGTTGGATGGATATGGAAATGTCATCTTCAACTAGTCCCAGTAATAACAACATGATTGAATTTCAAAACTTTATAACATGTATTCCAATTGAGGAGGAAGTATATGATTCTCTATGGCTACAAACTGACTTGTCAATGGTAGATAATATTAGCCAATAGTAATGAGAAACTAATTAGTTGAAATTTTTCTTTTCCTTTTTTTCTTTCAGTGTAAATTATCTAATCCAATTTGGATTATTACTACTAGTTCAACTGTAAATTTAGTTTAATATTATTTTATAGATTCACACTTTTAAGTATTTTCGATCCGTCCTAAAAATTCTGAATTTCAACAATCGAGTTTACTTTATTATTAGAAAGTGGAATTATTTTTGTTGGGCAAACACAAATATATTGTTAATACGGCATGATATGTTCGCTTTACACCAAGTTTGTATTGTTTTTTTCAAATTTCTAGTATCATTAAGAATACTTTCAATTGTACAGATTTTGTTAAGCTCATCAATCAAGTGTATCCAACTTTATGAGTATTCTATTTTTTCTTTTTTACTTTAGATTTTATTTTTTTGTTCACATGGCTAATAGTATCTTCTTTGAAATAAGTTCAACGTAACAATTCATTATTTATGGACTAATTTAATTTGGCAAGTAATTTTATGTTTTTTTATTGAATTGGGTATTTACGATTATCAAAATGATTTTATTTATGTATTTTTTCTTATGGATAAGCCTTATGTGATCACTTTCTTATTTCTATATCATCCTTGTTATAATTAAAATATATAATGTGTTGACGAGATCGAAACTGAAATTTGCATAATTGGAGTGTGAATTAGAGAGATATAGATGGTAATAAAGAACGGTACCCAACATGAATACATGTACAAAGCCGAACGAATTAAAGGCTAAACCCGGAAAGTTTTGGACAAAGGATATGCTCGCCCCATCTTAAACAAAGTGGAAGTGTTAACTTTCCCATTGTTAGTTAATATAGTTAGGCTGTTAGTTTTCCTATTTTCTGTTAATACAGTTGGTTAGTTAGTTTAGCATGCACATGGTTAGTTGGCTGCAGATTCTGTTACTGAATATGTGTGTGTTGTAAACGTGAGTGGAGTGATTGAAGTTAGTTAGAGGAATTGATGTACTAAGTCTGCATATATATACAGATCACATGTAAAATCTGCACTAAGAAATGATAAGCTTTCCCTTCTTTCTCTTCTTCTTCTTCAAAATTAACTTGTTCCTAGAAGCTACAATGGAGTAATTTCAAACTCCTAGCTAGAATTTTGTCATGGTATCAGAGCGAGGCTACAAGGCTGAGTGTAGGCTGTGAAGAAGACAACAACAGGCAACAATGGTGGCTGGAAGAATTGATCCAAATGATCCACTTTATATAGGTCCATCAGATGCTTCAAGTGCAGTTTTGATTCCTATCAAACTCACAGGACCTGAAAATTATGGAGTATGGAGTAGGTCCATGAGAATTGCTTTAACAAGGAAAAGGAAAATTGGATTCATTACGGGAGCTTGCAGCAAATCTATGTATCGAGATGAGTTACATGAACAATGGGAAACATGTAACGCAATTGTGCTATCTTGGTTGATGAATTCAGTTAGTGAAGATCTTCTAAATGGAATAGTATATGCTACCAGTGCTTATGTAGTTTGGCAAGACTTGAAAGAGAGGTTTGACAAGGTTAATAGAATGAGAATCTATCAATTGTACAGGGAGATCAACACGATCTCACAAGGTACTGATTCTGTTTCATCATACTACACAAAACTGAAGAACTTGTGGGGGGAATTTGATGCACTTATGCCATCTCCTAGCTGTGCTTGTCCAAAATCCAAAGAATATGCTGATCATCTGTACCAGCTTAGGCTACTTCAGTTTCTTAGTGGGTTGAATGAGTCGTATGAACAGGCTAAGAGGCAAATCTTGCTAAAAGGTGTTACTCCTACCATTAATTAAGCTTATGCTATGAGTATAGAAGATGAGCTGCAACAACAAACAGCTTGTATGACTATTGGTAACAAGGTATCTGATGTAGTAGCTATGAATGTTAACAGAGGAAACAATTATAATCAAGGAAACCAGGTTAACAAAGGAAGAAGATGTGAACATTGTCAATATACTGGGCATACCAAGGAGAATTGTTACAGGCTAATTGGTTATCCAGCTGACTGGAAACATAGGAAAAAATCTGGTTTTAATAATGCAAAGTCAGGTCACATGCATTCTTCACCTGGAGGAAATAACCATAACATTGTTGGAGAAGTTAACAATACATCCAAAGAGAACTCTGGAGAAGCCTCTTCTAGTCATCATGAAGTAAACAATGCATTTGTTGCTAGAGGACATGCATTCACTGATGGAGAATACAAGCAAATAATGGACATGTTAGGGAAAGATAAGAGGGAAGTAAAGCAGGCCAACATGACAGGTTTGGCAGATTGTTTTTCAACTAATGTTGCTTCTCATTGTTGGATAGTAGATTCTGGTGCTTCTCATCATATTACATCAAATGAACATTTACTGAAAAATAGTAAATGTACAGCTAATTCCCATCAAGACAAAGTGAACTTACCTACAGGTGACAAGGTCTCCATAACACACATAGGAGATACACATTTGTTTAACAATGAGATGATCAAAGAAGTGCTGTGTGTACCTGAGTTCAAGTTCAACCTGCTGTCTGTATCACAGTTAACTAAGGAACTGTCTTGTTTTGTTTCCTTTTACCCTGAATTCTGTATATTTCAGGATCTTTACAGTGGCAGGGTGAAGGGGATTGGTAGGGAAGAAGGGAGCCTGTACATATTCAGAACTGATTCTGACTTGAAGAGCAAATGTGAAACTCAAAGTCCTCAGAAGATGGTTGCAGAGGTATCACTACAAGATTGTGAACTGTGGCATAGAAGGCTTGGTCATCCTTCAAACCAAGTATTACATTGTTTAGACATATTACATAATAATAAAGACAGTGATCTACTTACCAGTTGCACAGTGTGTCCATTAGCTAAACAAACTAGATTGTCATTCCCTATCAGTACATCAAAGACCTCTAAATGCTTTGAAATTGTTCACATGGATCTTTGGGGACCATATAAGGTTCCCACATTTGATAAGAAATATTATTTTCTTACAGTTGTTGATGATTACAGCAGATATACTTGGGTACATTTACTACAGCTCAAATCAGAAACTATAGTAGCTATAAATACTTTCTTTACACTGATAAAGAATCAGTTTGGGTGTGTAATCAAGACTGTAAGGTCAGACAATGGAACAGAATTTTTCAACTCTCAATGCAAAGGATTGTTTACAAGTCTAGGCATTGTACATCAGAGTAGTTGTCCTCACACACCACAGCAAAATGGTGTAGTGGAGAGGAAACATAGACATATATTGAATGTAGCTAGAGCCATCAGATTTCAGTCTTGTATGCCACTTAGATTCTGGGGAATTTGTGTTCAAGCAACTGTGTATTTGATCAACAGACTACCATCATCCAATCTTCATAACAAAAGTCCATATGAGAGGTTGTTTTTTAAGTCTCCTAATATCAGCCATTTAAGAGTGATGGGCTGTCTTGGTTATGCTTCTGTTATTCCTAGGAATGATAAGTTCTCAGAGAGAGCAAAGTCTGTGATCATGATGGGATATTCAGAAACTCAGAAGGGCTATTTGGTAATGGATATACAAACCAAGAAGTTCCTAGTGAATAGAGATGTGGTATTTCAAGAACATATCTTTCCTTTTGCCAATTCAAAACCTTCCCAAGCACCTGTTAATGAGTTATTACCTGATAGCCTTGAAGAAGCAAATGATTCAGAGGGGACAACACATGATGATTGTACACAGACAGACACACAGATTTCTACTAGTTTGAGTGATGTTCCTGATGAGATATTGCATACTCAGCATGAAGAGGTGCTGATCTAAGACTTAAATGTTGATTCAGTGTTTTCTAGAAAGTCATCTAGACCTACCAAGCCTCCCATTTGGATGAAAGATTATATGACTACTACTCTTGGACAGAATAGTAAGTATCCTCTGGCAAATCATCGTAGTTATGATCATGTGTCATCAAACTATCATAGCTACCTAGTTAACTTTTCAGATTCAGTAGAACCTCAAACATTTGGCCAAGCTTGTAAAGATCCAAAATGGATTGAGGCTATGAAGTTAGAAGTTAAAGCTCTTGAAGATAACAAAACATGGTTGGTGGTTGATTTACCTTTAGGTAAACATACTGTTGGTTCTAAATGGATCTACAAGATCAAATACAAAGCTGATGGAGACATAGAAAGATTTAAAGCTAGACTTGTAGCTAAGGGTTATAGTCAACAAGAAGGATTGGATTATCATGATACATTCTCACCAGTTGCCAAAATGGTAACTGTTAGAAGTGTAATTGCAGTGGCAGTTTCAAAAGGATGGTTTCTTTACCAAATGGATGTATACAATGCTTTTCTACAAGGAGATTTGGATGAGGAAGTATATATGGAGATGCCTGAAGGTTTCAGATCTCAAGGGTCAACCAAAGTTTGTAAATTGCTTAAGTCCTTGTATGGACTTAAGCAAGCATCCAGACAATGGAATATCAAATTGACTAACACTTTGTTATCTGCAGGCTTCACTCAAAGTTCATATGATTACTCATTCTTTACTTTGAAGAAGCCAGAGGGGATGGTCATTGTACTGATCTATGTTGATGATTTACTCATTACTGGTGACAATGAGTTATTAATCAAAGAAGCAAAAGAAGTATTGCATCAGAAGTTTAAACTCAAAGATTTAGGAGAACTCAAATATTTCTTAGGAATTGAGATGCTAAGGTCCAAAACAGGTGTTATCTTGAATCAAAGGAAATACATATTGGAGCTTATATCTGATACAAGATTGAGTGGTGCAAAACCTGTGAATACACCATTAGAAACTAACTTGAGGTTGACATCAGTAGAATTTGATCAAACTGCTGGAATACAAGGAGATGATGAGCTAATGGACAATTCAGCTTATCAAAGATTAGTGCGAAAATTGATGTATGCTACCATTACAAGACCTGACATTAGTTATGCTGTGCAAACTCTAAGTCAATTTATGCAACATCCAAAAAGGTCTCATTGGGAAGCAGCTATCATAGTGGTGGGATACTTAAAAGGAACAGTTGGTCAGGGCATATGGCTGAAGGCTCAACCAGCTACAACATTGACATGTTGGTGTGATTCAGACTGGGCTGCATGTCCTAATACTAGGAGGTCAGTAACAGGCTACATAATGAAATTTGGAGATTCTTTAGTGTCTTGGAAGTCCAAGAAACAACAGACAGTGTCTAGAAGTTCAGC